ACGCCTAGCCCAATGACGATGGTTGCTATTCCTTCGTATGGAGGCGTGTCAATTCCAATGGCTGGTTCCACGTGGAACGGTGGGGTAGTGGAACGCCTCATATGTATACATTCTACACTCCCTTCCAACCGCCAATGCCGTCGACACCTGGATGGGCTGCAGCTGGAACGATTCCCGCGTGGTCTGCTGCGTCTGCGCGGCAGACACCTGCAAGCCCCAGAAGCGGAACGTACGGATTGCCGTTCCAGAGAACGTCTCCTATGACTGTTGCGACGTTCCAGGGACGAGCAGGAGCGCTAGGACAAGAAGGAAACGTGAGTGCTCAGGGAGGAAGGTACGCACCTAGCGCAGTATCTCCGCAAGGGCAAGTGACGAGTCCGCTCTACGACCAAGTAGTCCGCAATGGCTCGCACGGGTCAGGAAGAGGCGCTCAGCTGGACGTTCCGATTGTTGGTATCCCGACGGAATTGCGGAACGCTGTGAAAGTTATCGTCCCGTTCTACTCAGAGACGGCCACGTACGAAAGGGCGACCGCGTTCTGGCGTTCCTTCGAGAAGTGTACGCTCAGTATGGACGTCCAAATGCGGTTGACAGCCTTCGAGCAGTGTCTGAAGGGCAAGTTGGGCCAGGAATGGTGGTACAATGCGAGGATCAACGATTTTGAGACTCTGCGCGTAAAATTCCACAACCGCTTCATCTTCAGACGCCAGCTCAGTTGTGGAGCCGACTCAAGGCCGCAAAGAGGAATTACGGCGAATCTGCGGAAGAGTGGGGCGACAGGATCATCACGATGTGCGAGTACATAAACTATCACGAGCCTCGTATGCAGTACGAGTTCTTCCTTGATGTGTTAAGGAACAAGCAGATGCGTGCCGTTTTGAATGCGAACTTAGCTGCGTCGATCCAGGAAGCGTGCGCTTTATTGCTGTACAAGAATCTGCACCTCCCTTTGGAAGAAGAAGACGAGTTTGCGAATAGTGGAACGACGGTGGGGAACATGAATGCGGTGACATCCACGCAGTCGCAGATGCTCCAGCAGCTTCAACAAATGAACCAGTTGATGCTGAAGCAGCAGCAGAATCCTGGAACGTCACAAGGGTTCGTTGGCGCCGTGGCTCCTACGAACGTTCCAAGTACTGGCGTTCCAACTCCGAATGGGAACGTGGCTGGCGCACCGCTCGGACCTCTTCGCATCCGACTAGGACCTGACACGCGTACCCCGGAAGAAGAAGTGGTTTGCGGACGCTGTGGTCGTGTTGGATGTGGGCGTGAGACGTGTCCCCCTGGACAGGGCCGTTGTAATCGGTGTAACGAACTTGGACACTACTCGATGGAGTGCAACTGGCCAAGACCCCAAGGGAATTACCGGAACGGAGAGCGACGCCAAGCGGAATGTCTGCTGTGTGGTAAGGCGGGTCACATGGTGGCGAGATGCCCGTGCCTCGATACTTTGCGAGGAATGATGCAGAGCGTGGCCGCCGGGAACGTGGCTGCACCCGCTGGTACGTCCCAACAATGAATTGGCCAGGAGGAAGGGGAAGGAAGTGTCGCTCCTTCCTCTTGCGTGGCCTCCCTCCCCCTCGGCCGGGTTGGGGCAAACCGGCAAAGAGAAGAAGGTTTTCCGCGCACACATTTGTGGGTGAACAACGAGGCTCTCGGAGAGTGTGATGAGCGATGAAGGCGCTCGTGACTTCCTGTCACGAGCATAACGACGAAATTGTGGAAACTAAGAGTGGAACGAGCAGAGAAAGCAGTCCGACTGAACGGACTGGGCTAGGACGAGACGAGAAGATTGAGGGCTCTACGGAGAGGCCCGCACGAGACGGAGTGGTCGTTGAGGTAACAACGGAACGTTCCTCTGCGACGCTGAACTGGGAAAACGAAAAGAGGGCACGTTCAAAGTTGGTACAGGACGTCAGTAAGGGAGCAACGGAACGCCCCGAGACTGCGTCAGACGCCAAGAACGAGTGTCTAGAGATAAAGGGCTCTATCGAGAAGCCCGTACGAGAGAGAGTGGTCGCTGAGGAAACAACGGAACGTTCTTTGGCGAAGCTAAACTGGGAAACGGACAACGGAGCGTTCCAAGTCGGTGGAAGACGTCAGTAAGGGAGCAACGGAACGCCCCGAGACTACGTTGGACGCCGAAGAGAAGTGCCAAGAGAGCGAGGAGGTGGAGACGCTGTCCACCCGCTCAAAGCAGTACGAAGGAGCACTCGAAACGATCACGGAGGACGCATCTGGCGCCAGGTCAAGTCAGTTCTCGGCAGTTATTGGACAAGTGAGCTCAGGTCACGAAAGGACAGAAGCTCAGAAGGCCGAGGAGGACGAGGAACGTACTAAGGGGAAGGATTCGACGCAGCACTACGAACGCCTGTTTACCGACGAGGAGCTGGATATGCACGAGCACGGTGGCAGCCAGGTAGTGAAGAATGAACCCGAGGAGTACGAGAAAGAACGGGAAGAGCGATTGTTCCCGATGAACGAAGAAGAGGTGCTGCTACGTGCCAAGCGGAACGCGGATGAACAAGGGAAGCCGACACTCGCGGAAATGAGTGCCGAGCTTGGGATACCGGAAGACGTGTTGGAACGTACCCGGGAGGTCTCATCTGGAGATCTCGGAACACCAGAGTATTGGCTGGACTGGTACGCTTACACGCTAGAGACGTCGACTGAAGCGGAACGTGCCAATCGGGACTTCAAGTATGTCGGAGGAACGGGAGAGAAGTCGACGACGGTCGTTGGCTTCCGTTACGGCCGGAATAGGAAGGAGCGTAATGGGTTGCCTCTTATTTTTTTTTTT